ACTGTCTTACAATATTTTCTTGACATATTACCCTCATTACTGTAGCATCAATAAGTGATTCCTACAACATGGCAGATACATGTTTGTCTTTTGAGGAATGTAAGATTAATAATAATCCATATTAATGTCTGGAAGCTAAACACCATTGTTTTGAGAATTTCTTGTTATTGTAGCACCCAAAGAGGAATTATATTAATTTTGTGATATCAAATAAGTTTAGTATTACAATATCTATGCAAGGTTTTACTTTCCTGAAGTCTGTATTCATTTCTTTGGGAGCCTCTGTGAGAGCGAGTGAGTGTGTGTATATATTGTTTGTGTGTGTGTGAGAGAGAGAGATCAAATATTATACAGTTCAATACTTATCTATTTGGCTACTTCAGAATTTTCCAATATTTATTTTTTTATGAAGGTAATTTGTTTTGTGAGAGGTTACTTAATTTTGTTATCCAACACAAATATAGAATTCTAACTGCATATAAAAAGAAAAAAAATAATGGAAAAAATCTAGTTAATAATTAAAGAAAGAATGGATAATTAATTAAAATGCAGTAACCCATCAGTTAGGAAAGATCATTACTAGGAAAATGCAATTAACAATTATTAATTACAAAATTTTATAATTGGAATGTCTAACCACAAAGTCAGACACTCTCACATACAAACACACATTTACATATATATATATATATATATATATATATATTATATATATATATACACACACACACACACACAACACACATACACTTTTCTTAGCACAAAAAATGCATTTTCTTAGCCAATCATTTATATATATATATATATGAAAATTTCTCCGATTTAACCAGTAGAGAAGACAATTTTTCCTATTGTCATTTTTATATATATATATATATATATACATACACACACATATATATATATATATATATGTGTGTGTATAAAGCAGTATGTATATAAATGAATGGAATGTCTCAGTATGTATATAAATAAATGGAATGTCTAAGTTATATTACTGTGTGTGTATATAAACCAGTATGTATATAAATGAATGGCATATATATATATATATATATAATTTGAAGATCCATGTATTTAAAATTTATGCTTGATTTTTTTTGTCACATGAAGTTGATTTTTTTGTTTTTTCTTTTTTAAAATCAGTGTATATGGTGTATTCTCAAACTAATGTCTTAATGTTTATTGTTTGTATTTCTCACAATATTTCAGCTGTGTACCTTTTTACCTTCCTCTGTATTACAGAATGAAGTGAAATACTTTTTGTTCAGATACATTTTTCCTTCACGCCCCATATCAAGTGGGTAGTCATGATGTGAAGAGGTGGAAAGGCACCAGAACCATTGGTGATGTGAAGAAAAAATATACATGCACTCAAATAAAGAATTCAACAATAGCCTGGAAGACAAAAGTTACCTAAAAATGGTTAAAGAGTACACAGCTAAAATATTGTGAAAACAAAAAGAGAAATGAGAAGGAAAATACAAATAAAACCAAATACAATGATACAAGTTACTTCATAAATATACAACCAATTATAAAGTTATACATTCATGAATCAAAACAAATGTCATTTCTAAAAAGGTAACTAATAAAACACAAAAAAAGCAAAAGATTATTTCATATACTTCAATTCTTCATTTTCAGAAATGAAAATATTTAAAGTAATAAAAAAAGAACAATTCAATGGTAGCAGAAGTTTCCCAAAAAGTTAATTTCTAAAGTTTATAAGAAATCTTATAGAATATTCCCCTGAGGTTTTATAAAAAAAAAAGCTCATTTAAAATTATCTTCACTGCTTTTGACACTCATTCTCAGCTAATTAGTATATGCTTGACAAATAATCATTTTTCTTGATTTTATTAACTAAAGAGTGTTACTTTTTAATTTTCATTTCTACAGTATCACATGTACAATGTGATAATTTTAACGTTAACATCTTGTGTATAAGAAGATACATGTAAAATAGAATATATATATATATATTTTACATGCTACCAAGTCTATGTAAGTATGATTTTGTACATATACACATACATACATGTATGTATAATGGTAATATATTGTTATTCAGCAAATATTGTATATATAAGCATGATTACATGAACAGGTGTAAAAGTATACCCATCTCAGGTGTTTTTTGCACACCGGTAAAAAAAGACAAATTTATATACAAGTTATTGTCTGCACACATATACAAGCAGTATTATAAGATTATTATTTTTTTATTTTTTTAAAGCGTTTCACCCCAAGCAAGGCAGGAAGCCACTAGCATGCAAGGGGTTACAGAGAGTTGGAGTGAGAGCAAATAGGAGTGATAGAGGAAAGGATGAAGAGAAGGATAGGGGATAGATCAAGGCATCTAGAGGCGTCGATTGACATTACATTTGAATCATTGGAGATTATAGCTATCAGGAAAATGAGAAATGGGGAGGGAGTTCCACAGGTGAGAGGTACGAGACATGAATCTATTGAAGTAGAAGAGACGGCTACATTTAAAAGTTTCAACAGTGAAAGGGTGAGAGCGAGATGCCAGCCTAGTTGAGCGCTTAAATTCATGAAGTCTGGAAACCAGCAAAAGCAGCTCATTGGAGCAGTTACCATGAAAGTATTTGTTAAAAAGACAGAGGGAGGCGACAGCACGTCTGTGAGAGAGCGACTGCAGACGAGATGCCAGATGAGGGTTTTATTTAAAAAGTATTTATTGAAACAATTTTTATTAAAAATTCAACCAATAAGGTCTATTTTTAATTTTTTTTTCCAATTTTCAAATAATTGGATGTATATCAGGATCAAAATTATGGATAAACTTACTTGACTGGGAAACTGCTAAATAAACATTCAGTATATAAGAAGAATGCTATTAATAGGTTTATTGGAATGTAATATGTCATTGGTAGAGTTAACACAATATTTATATAGTTAATACTATATTTATATAGTTAATACTATATTTACCTATATAATAGTTAAGTATAACAATACCAGCTGGTTTAGAGTTTTGGCTAACCAGTATATACGGATCAGGATTTGTGAAATTCCTTGAATGTTAGGTTTGTCTGATTTTATGTTTCCTACAGATAATCCATGAAAGTTTTCAACAATTGCGGAATTTTCCTCCAACATGGAAAAATATAGTAAAAACTTAAGACCTTGATGGTTGAATTTAATTAAAACTGATTTTGATAGATATAAGTACAAGACAAAAAGAAAACTTATTTACCAAACAAACACATTTCCTTCCTCAATAAACTTTAGGTAATAAATTACATCATTTAGCATCCTTCATAGTTTACCTTACCATACACAGCTAGATTTAATAATATGTTAGTGCTCTCAAATTTAAAATCTTAGTACTTAACATAATTTACCTCTGCATATAAATACAGGTGACAAAAAATTTTGATATTTACCTTCATAGAGTTCCTCAGAGAATGAAACACATTGATAAAGAAAAGTTTTCCTTTTTGTCTTTTACTTATATTGTCTTTACAGATATATTTTATTCACATTTGGATTTTTAGACACACACACACATATATATATATATATATATATATATTTTTATACACGTGTGCAATTATTTTCTAAATATACACCTATTAGAGTATAATATACACACACACACACACACACAATATATTTTTACACATTGAAAATGATATCAGTGGAAAAAATGTGTATGACAAAGTTGAAGTTTTCTTATGACGTGTTTCATACTTTAAGACATTATTGGACTAAGTTTGTTATGTTGGTGTGGTTACACATACGCATGAACAAGTGATTCTGAGAATTTTACATTTAAAATTTCTTTTAAACTAGCCAATTTTATTTAGATTCTTTTTCTTTCTCTCACTTTAGATATCACAGTTCTGATAATAGAAGTTCCACTAGGAATGGTGAAACTTTTTTTCTTTTAAGAACAAGGGCACAAATTTTTTTTTTATTTATCAGTGTGGGGGGTGGATATCTGCTAACAAAAGTGATGGGAAGAAAAAGAATCTAAAAGAAATCAGCTAAATTAAAAAAAATAAAATAAAAGCAAAAAAGAAAAAAAAATTCCCAGCATCCATTTCACACCAACATAACAAATTTATGTCCAATGAAGTCATAAAGGACAAAATGTGTCAGAAGAAAACGTTTTCCATTTTGCCATACATTTTTCCCCTAATATATTTTTATATAAAAATATTCATCACACTCATAAATATATATTTTGTTTTACGCACCACCAAAAACAAGGCAATAAAGCCACTAAGATGCAAGGGGGGATAACAGAGTGAAGGAATCTGAGAAGAGGACAAATATATATTAGATATATAATTAGTAGTAATGATTTTACTCAGGTTATAAGTTTATGTATATAGCTATATGTGTGTGTGTGTGTGCATGGGTGTAATTAATCGACATGTAATATTTAACACGATCCCACACTTACATAAAAAGAAAAGAATATTGCATAAGAATAATACACCTAAGAGATAGATATTGATAAGAAATTACGTTTTTTCTTTTTTATCTAACTCATATTTCAAATATTCATTTCTTATTTTGACCACATTAATAATCTTTCCAAAGTTGTAAAAAATATATCAGATAAATTTTCATTTTTAATTGGTCAGCAAGGAAAGCATAAATCATATATTGATGCTATTTAAAAAAAAATAAATAAAAAAAAATGAAAAAAACTTTACTTTTGAACAACAACTCCAATTATATATGTAATAAAAGGCCTGTAAAAACAAATGATTTTATTACAATTTGCAAGCAAAGGCCACGAGTTTCATTTATTTTCCACATTTATAAATATTCATCAGCAAGTTTTCTTATTTATTTACTGCAACCTTATAAAGTTTACTGACATTATGAAAAGTTTGCAAAAATGCACATTTGAAATATGAGGTCATGTAAAAAAAAAAAAAGAAAAAAGGGGGGGGGCAGAACCTATATTTTTTCAAATCCTGAACATGTTCATTGCTCATATCAAATTAAGAAATGGTTTATTCCAAAACCGTCAGCAGTGATTTTGTATAAGCAGCAGCAGCAAGGGCAGCATATGGCTGCCAACCTTTCTTTCCAGTACCATCACCATAGTCTGCCATTCCACGAATTATAAGGAAGCTGCAATTCCTGTTTCCCTCTAGGGAGTCAAGAACGGCCTCAAATTCCAAGTCGAAAGCCTTGATGCCGTTCAACTGGGCAAATTCATTACGCATTTCTTGGTTACGGGTTACCAGACCGCCTGAGCCAATTAAACCATATCTTATGGTTACTTGACCTTCTGTATAATTCCGAGATGCAAGACCTGTAGGTTTTGGGTGTTCATATTGTACAACAGTTCCATTTGGCTGTGTAAACAGAAGCTTATCTCTTGTTATGGACGGACGGTGGAAGTCGGACTCTTCATTTTCAAGAAGTTCCTTGCCTTCTTCAATGTAGAAATCCCAAGGCTTGGCTGTGTGTGGATTTCTCTCTACGTTTCTCTGTAAAACATTGACTGCTTTCTGGAGAGTCTGCGTGGCACTGCTCCATGCTCTAGTAACATAACTGTAGCCACAGGATCCTGGAATCTTCTCCACACGTTGACAATGCACATAAATTGATCCACTCCTATCAATGGGTAAGGAAACCACTACGTCACCAATCCTCACATGCTTTTCAAAATCCGAAAAATGAGGAACTGCACCTCCTACACCAACCAGAAGGACATGCTCAACATGGCTAAAAACACCTGACAAAAATAATAGAAAACATTAATTTGTAAAATATTGTCATAAAAATGAAAAAGCTGCAATATCAAACTAGTATCTTTATCTTTGTTGTTTTTATCACATTTCAGCCAGTATATTCTTCAGCCTTATAGTGTAGACTGATGATCTGAGATTGGGTAATTTCAATATTTGACAATTTTTTTTCAGAAGTTTTTAATAACAAAACAGTAAAGGAGATATTAACCAAAATGTTGCCTTTAGAATTAGTAAGTATACATGTGTATATAATATAAGAAATAAAAATGCTTCTCCATTCACTAGAATTTTAACTTCAAGTCTATGGTCAACTGTTATCTTTCCTACAGATCTTCCTGATCTGTACTACTTACCTGTTGCCCTTTAGTGCATGTAACAACCTCATTTAGTCACTACTTTGAGTGCCTCTTGAGCCTTGTATTGTGTGAACAATTAATAAAAAACAATTCAAAACTTCAGACAATACAGGAAATTGTAATAAAAATAAAGATATTAGTATAAATAATTTAGAATATTTCATCTCAAATTCAGAAATTAGTATACTAATAAAAAATTACTAAGAAGTAGTGCTGAAAAGTCCTCAAATTGACACACTTCTGAAAATCTAAACAAATGACCAAAGATAAGAATTTATTTATTTTTAAATCTCTTTATCAGACACTCTTATGATCAAATATTCTATTTTGGTAAAGGTTATTAAAAGTTGGAAAAAAAAAAGTGTGGGTGTGTGTGCTGTACTTAGTGGAAAGTGCTCAATATCAATGATAGAGCTAACATATTCAATTGTATGGACATTAGTTTCTGTCTATGTGTGTGAGAATGTCATCCTAAAGAAATACAGAAAATTCTCCCTCTCACCATCAGACATAATCAAGCATAAATAAGCATAAATAGATCCATTTTAAAAAAATGGAAACAGTTTCTCTGATGATTGCAAAAGTGTGAAACCCAGGGTCACAAACTAATATCCATACAACTAAATATACATGCATACATACCTATTTTAAGACAAACCTGTATCCTATATGGAACTGTCATTTAGCCTGACGTGCTTTACTGATTTAGCCACAGAGTAAAATCGGCCTTGCTAACTGAAACACTCCTCTGTGGCTAAATCGGAAAAGCACGTCAGGCTATATGACGTTTCCGTATAGGATACAGGTTCGATTCCTGTCAGAAGACACATTTTTTCTATGAAAATTTCTCAGATATTCAGGCCGGTAAATGTTGTTAATATTGTTTATTATAAACAGAGTATTTACTTAAATATTTGTATCTATAAAAAGAACATATAAACATAAAAATAAAAAATGTCTTAAAATAATTGTCAGACTTTGTCCATTTCATATATATATATATATATATATATATATATATATATGTGTGTGTGTGTGTATGTGTGTGCACATTAAAAATTAATTGGTTTTGATCATTTTTTTCATAATCTACAATAGATTAAAGATGTCAAAATTCCTAGGATTCTCATTAGCATAACATTAGAAGACCTTAGAGGTATTATTTACTAAAGTCCACTGCTGGTATTAGTCAACTGTATTTTAGAAGGCATCATTAAAAATTAACAAGTTATAAAAATGGCTTCCATGTCCCTGCATGCACCTCCAGTGAGCAACCCTGAAGCCACATTATGTTGCAGGCTGCACCACCTCCTTTCTGCCCATGTCACTTATGATGACCATGTGCTACTAATACTTCAGGTCTTCTTTTTTTCATTACCAACAAATGATCAAAAAAAAAAAAAAAAAGTAAACCTAAACCAGCTCTTCCAAAATCACCTGAACATTTTACCATTTCCTTTTTTAACATCCATGGCATTTGGACCAACTTCTGCAGTGTGGAATCATTCCTCATTGAGAAGTCTCCTGATATACTGGCTCTCTGCAAGACCAACCTTAATCTCCTCATCTGACTTATCAATCCCCAGTTACCTTCCTCTCCTTAGAAAAGACTCAAACCCACATACATGGCCCTGGGATTTTATTCCCAGGGCCATCTCCCACTGGCTAGAGAACTCTCTTCCAAGACTGTGGTGTACATGATAACATTTCCAACAATAAAGACAAAGACTTTGAACCTTTAATCAATGCTGAAGTGGGTAAGAAACTTACATCCCAGGATCTGCTCTTTGGAAAGCAATTCAGTACTCTTTTCTTTGTTTCTAATGATATTTTCCAGTTTCTTAATAATTTGCTTAGTTTTTGAAAGGCATCCTTTGCTATCCAGTAATGCATTTTCCATCTTTAGTCGAAACACTTCCAGTTATTTAAATTATTGTATAATTTGTAATTTGAATGGTGGGTTGTTCCTCTTGCTGACAGTTAAAAGCATTGTCAATATCAAATATCACATTTTGAAGGCATCAGCAGATATCAAATAAAGATCAGATATCACATTTTGAAAGGTATTATCATATTTATTCAAAGGCTTCATGTGAATGTCTTATTTACATCAATAGTTAAAAATAATTTATTTTTTATTTATTTTCAAATGAAACAACTTTACTATTTTTTATTTTGAAATAGGTATCTTGATAAATTTATAAACTGGTTAATTACCAATGCATTTGTGACTGAAATTGATAAGGCAAAGTCCATGGTAGATAAAATCTCAAGCTTTAGGATGCAAGTTATTTCTTTATTTCCAATTTCAAGCATATTAATGTAACAGTCAAATTTTTACTTAATCCAGGATGATCCAATTGGAAACAAAATGTGGTAAAACAATGTAAAATGATAATAAAGAATATATTAATCCAACAATAAAATAATGAAGAGTATTTCTGGGGGAGTGGGGTGGATTCTGTAACACTACTAAGATAGAATAAAAGTATTAATTGATCTAGTTTATATATATATATATATATATATATATATATATATATATATATATATATATATTACACACACTACTGTCCAAAAGTTTGAAGCCACCTCCAGAATTAGCATGAGATGAACTTGATAGAGGAGTTAAAAAAATGAAAAAAAACTGAGTCATTGAAAAAAAAGAATGGAATCAAACTATATAATTTGAGAAACTTTTGCAACAAATGCCAAATGTTTTTGCTGCAGTAATCAAGGCTAAAGGAGGATATTTTGACAAGAGCAAAATTTAATCATAAAACACTTTTTTTTTCGTTTTATCAAAATAAAATTTCTAATAAAAAAATCTTGTTACACATTTTTAACCATGTATAATAATTTTCTATTATTTAAAGTACAAAACATCTACTTTTTGGACCAATTTAAAAAATACCAGGAGTGGCATCAAACTTTTGAACTGTATATATATATATATATATATATATATATATATATATATATATACACACACACACATTGGACTCTCTTGTCAATTTCAACATATGAGGGTCAAGCAAATCTGCTCTGAGAAATCAACAGATCATTTGATTATAGTGGTGAAGGGTTGTGGAAAACCAACCAGAATTGAATACAGAGAACCGGTGCAGAATATGCCGCAAGGTCCTCAAACAATCCTCCACAGGTTTTGAATTCAGAGTTGTTCTCCTAGACCAGTTGCTAGCCAAAGCTATAGAACCCACTCCATCCTGCTATTTACCCATATCTGGGGGGGATTCTTACCTTTCTCAAGGGTATTAACATGTTTGACTGGAATTTGATCTCTGCTCCCTGATTCTTCAGTTTGAGTTGCTATCCATTACTCCATTGTGCTTCTTATATATCATTTTGCCAATATTTGGTCTCCCTTGCCTTATCTGTTGGCAAATTTGTGGCTCATGCCTTTGCCTTCACAATCATTAAGTAACACTGGTGCCAATGGTACAGTACTATTTCTATACTGTACACCACCATCTTTGAGTTAACAACATTGTTGGACATGCCTGACAGCTGAGTGAATGAATATAGTAATAGATTTGGCCTGGTCTGACCCAGAAGAAATTAAAAACAAATATTTAAACCATTAATAACATTATCTTACCCAGTAATCTTGTAATGGTATTCTCAGCAGCAATCATGGATTTCTGGTGAGGTCCACCTTTTGAAAGTTTTGTTGAGACCACTCTATGCTTGCCTATGCGACCCAGTGTGTAAACCTGAGAGTCACCTGTAATAAAAAAAAAAAATAAAATAAAATAAAAAAAAATAAAATTATATATATATATATATATATATATATATATATATATATATATATATATATCTATCTCAATCTCAATGTTACATATTTAATATCAACAGTTTTTTTTTTGTTTTTTTTTTAGATAGCTATAATACAGTAATGGTGTCATCTGAGGACAGATATGATCACTTATAATTCAAATAGACCAGAGACCGAAAAGTTCAGACCCTAGTTTCTTAGTTACGATGAAGATTTCAATACTCAATGAAACTCCTTGCATTAAATATCTGTTGAGACTTCAGTTCACTACAGACATCAAGTGGAATTCACATATAAATCCATTACTTAGGATGCTGGAAAAAAGGGGTTGGCTCATTATGTTGAATTTGTATATAAATATTTGTATAATAAATTGCAAAAATGTTCAGCTCCCTTCACAACTCTATGTAAGAACATGTTGAGAGGGATCGGGTACCACGGGGGTGGGGGGTACGACAGGTCAGGAGGGCTCGGGTACCACTGGGGGGAGGGGTACGACAGATCGGGAGGGATCGGGTACCACCGTAGAGTTCTCATTCCTTTCATATTCCACTTGTAAGGGGAAGTTTGCAGCTTCTTCTCCAGAAATGGTGAAATGTGGAACAGATTCCCAAGGGGATACTTCCCTGATTATGACAATCGTAACCCCTTTAAGTGAAGACCAACTATTGTTTATCTTACATATCTCATAATATACAATGCTCGCTCTCTCTACATAAGTCCTCTACATTGAGTGGCATTTAGTCCTAATATTTACAGATTACCAAAACAGGTTTTGTAAGTTTTTTTTTCTTTTTTATATTTATTTTTATCATTTTACTCAATGTAAGGAGATAAAGCCACTAAGATAAGGAGTTGCTCGGTGTGAGAAAATAGGAGAAAAATACTATCAAGGAAAGAGGACAATAAAAGAATAATTAAAACAGAAAATAATAATTTAAAAAAAAAAAAAAAAAAAAAAAATGAAAAAATTTATTGAAACAAAACAAGTTCAGTTGACCACTGATGACAATTCCAGAACAACCTAACAATAAACAATTTTTTTCTATCCTCTGCCAGCCGCAATGATGGAGAAAGCATTACCTCAAACCATCGCCAGTAAGATACGCTGCAAGAGCCACTCTGTTTCCCGAGGCTTGTCCCTTAATCGAGACACAATCCCACCAACCCTCCAAAGGGACGCCATCGAATGAGGACCAATAACCCCTGAAGTCTCCACTACCATAGGAGTAAAAAAAAAAAAAATCTATCAGCAAGAGAAGAATATTTAACTATTTTTTTCATCTCTGCAACCCGGGTGACAGATCCTGGCTCAACTGCGGAATTGGAAATAATGATTGATACTGCATTTAAATTTCTAAAGATCACAACTGACATGGAAGCAAGAAGCTGGAAGTGTGATAGAAGAAACTCATAGAAAAAAAAAAAAAAAAAAAAAAGGAATTATGAACATTAACTGATATGAAATATCTGCTAAACATGGAAAGAGGGATGAGAACAATTTAGCCCATGAATTGAATAAAGGGTTCTGTTTGAAATTCCATTAAGGTAGCTGTGGAATAAAGTCAAGATAATAGACAGGGACCAATACGTTAGGAATCAGTACATATGCTAGACACTGAGAATTTCTTCAGCAAATTTACCACAGAAATGAACACAATCTGCAAGACTGATCAAGAAAGAAAGGATATTCAACCAAAAAATCCACCACCTAAGTCAGGGCTCCAGAATTTCATCGCTAGGTTATCCAGGAGACAACTGGCCTAACAGATTGGTTAAAACACTAGGTTCTCTGACAGTTGGGAGTTCTGAAAAGTCACATACTCTGGTTCAGTGGAAGAAACAGACAAGCAACACACAAGTGAATGAAACTGTTATTAACTGATATAAAATATCTCCTAAGAGCAGAAAGTGGAATGAGAACAGTCTATGGATTGAATAAAGGGATCTGTTTGAAATTCCAATAAGATTGACAAGTATGGAGACAAAACACTCATTCAGTCACAGCATCTGAATAGAAATGTTTAAGGTTCCAGGATTTCAACACTGGATTGACCAAGAAATCCATGGCCTAATGGATATCTGCTTCCCTAGGCTTGATAGAACTGAAAAGTCATATACTGGCAAGCAACATAAAAGTTAATAAAACTGGTGAGTATTAACTGATATGAAATATTCCCTAAATACAGAAAGGATGATGAGAATCTATCCCCATGGAGTGAATAATGGTTTCAGTTTGAAATTCTAATAAGTTTACCAAGTTCAATACCTAAGGAAGGCAAATTGGTATAATGGCTGAAATGTTAGAGTATAAAAATCAATAAGAATAAATGGTAAAGCAAATAATAACTAATGAATAATTCTAAGATCTGTGAGTATGTTTGCAAAAATTTGGAGAGTAAACTTGTCATGAGAAGAGGAGCATTATGAGAAATAATTATAAAAATAGAGAATTGTTAGGAGAAACCACTTTTTATCATAGCACTAACAGTAAAGCCCAGTGTTGCCCGGGAGTAGACTTCCTCTGAATGGAAAGTCATAACCGCCATACTCATTTTGTACACGCATATAAGGCTGAAGTCTAGTAGAACTGATGGCCACCCACATAAAAATGTAATATACACAAGTTGTCGGTATTCATCAGCACAATGGAAGAAAAAAATTGTAAGGCTTAAAAGGAAGCAATGGACAGTCATAGTAGCATCAGCGGTTTGCCATTACTATGACACCTCCAATTAAAAATTGTCAAGTTCAATACGTACACAGGCCTTAGGAAGTTTTTGGTGAGTTGTGGCAGATGGCTTTGTATTCTGATAGGATGTTTTTATTATCCCTGAGTGCAAGACATTACATGAAGCCCGGTGTCAGTTGCAACGTAGTAAAACACAATAGCGTGAAAGGTAGACGTGTCTTTTGCCCAAAAGACGGTGCTGCCACTACCGCAAACAGAACCACATAACAGAAGTACAGGAAGGTGCTGGGGCGGGTACTTGTAAGTGGCACAATTTTTCTTGTAGTTTTTAATAGCCAGTTGAGGCGAGCATGAAGTGCATGTGGCGTTACCTAAAGCAGCCCTTATGGTAAGGGGAGAAACACACCAATGGTGTATGGCAGAGAATGCAGATTATAACTCTGCATGCTGCTATTCTTTTTATTATCCCACTTCTTTTTGCTGAAGCCTGAATTTCAGGAACGCACTCGACATCTGACAATTAAATGAATCCACCTCCATACATATTGGTTTTGTGTTGCAACTGAATATGATTACATGGTCGACATGTAAGTGTGAATGCAGCTATGGTGGGGTTTAAGTGATAAGGGAGGATCTGGTGAGCAAGACAACCATTAATGAAATGTCTTAGTAATGGCAAATGGATACTATGACCTTTAAATAAACCGGGTTCAAAAATAAAGGAACCTACAATGCAGCTGACATAAAGATGTGTACATTGTGTTTAAACGTGACCGACCACGGACTATAGGACTTCTGCGTAGGTAATATTTTAAACTGTTTGTTGGAGAGTAAATGTAAACGTTATCCTTACTCTTGACTCGGGAGAAGCCTACGTAAAGCTGTCCATGGGCGAAACACTGTTCACCTAAATGCAGACCCGTGACGCTGAGCATCTGTCCTTGCAATTTGGCCATTGTTGTTGAGTCGTGCTCGTCAGACCCCAGGGCTTTCTGAAGCTCTGGCAGACAAAGCAGATCTGGAATTCCTCAAATGGCAATTAGCTTTCTAAAGCTCTGGCAGATGCATTAACGCTGACATTTCTTAAACAAATAATAGCAGTTTGTTGAGGTTGTTCCAAAACTCTGTAAGATGCTGTAGCCCTAGCATTCCTAAGACAATGTGGAGTGGTTTGTTCAGAGCTTTCTAAAGCTCTATAACACAATGACGTTTGCTCTGTGGTTTCACTTGCCCGGAGGCAGAAGCTGTGCACCGTCCAAAAAGTTTTTTCTCTTAGGTGGCATTTTAACCAATTTTAAAAAGGCAAACGTAATAAAAGGTATGTAAGTTTTTTGAGTGCAAAAATACGTGTAGTCTAAACGCATGCAGGTTAGAAGGATCCCCAAAAATGTATGTAACTGTATCAAAAGGAGATCAAAGACAAAAAAAGTGAAGTTTAAAAAAATTCAGCTAAAACTAAAACGGTAGTAGGTAATTTGGGAAGTAAATTCGATAAACGCGGAAACGGATGTAGTTATAACTAAGAAGTAAAAAAAAAACTGTTTGGATACGTAACCAATAACTTATGGTTTCCATAAGAAGCAAATGAAGTGAGCCAAGTGTGGGACAGTGAATAGTAATTGCAGAAGTGTGAACATGTGTGCGAGTTATGGTATAAAGAGGCGGTTGGCTGGTTGACCTCAAGCGCACATAAAGGTGACATACATATGCACACACGTGCGTAAGAGAACTGCTCATGCATATGATTGGATGGGCCCAAGGTTAAACACTTGCAACCATGCCAATGAGCTTGCAGCAACATTGAACAGTTGATACGATTGGTTAGCCTCCAGCTCTGTTTACTAGCGGTGGGAAGCTTTCTGCTTTGACTAGTATATATTTGCCATACAAACAAAATCAGACAAGTGATTAATGTAAACAATACATAGCGTCAGTATGTGAGGGATGCATTATTAATGTGTTGTAAGAGAATATTTTTTTTTTCTTAGAAATTTCTTTTCAATATAAGGGTGCGTCTTCCAAGCTAAAGCATCTTGTAAGCTGGAAAATATGGTAATTGTTTTGTTTGGTGAAGGAGATATTTTCAGTAGATATGTATTGATTTTTTTTTGAGATAGAATTATGAAACTGTGGCCTTCAAATTTTAAGAACACCGAGATTGAATTCCAAGTTCTCAGAGATGTAAATAATATTTTAAATTGAAAAGCAAATTGTACAATTATGAGTCAGCAGAATAAGAAACTGAGAATAAAAA